TGAGTTGATTCGTTATGGGTTTAAAAAGAATAGAGGGATCAAGTTGTAGATCCCCAAACGTGGGAGCGTTGAACATACTCCAGATATGATCATCARCAAAGTTACCTGTATCAGTTGCACCAACATCAGAGCTCTTGAAGCGGCAGCGATCGTTTCTGGCCTCATAAGGATAGCTTTTCTCAGTATCAATACCACCATTAGCTTTGATGTATCGGAAAGCATTGTCCATCAGACCTCCCTGGCATCCATGGTTACCATAAGATGTGGAACAGTCAACAAGGTTCTGTTCACTCAGAGAGACAAGCTTGCCTGTCTTCTTGAAATGTTGTCCCTCAAGGGAACCAGTGGTACTAAAGGCCCAGCACGAACCACATTGTTCTACGATGTTAAGCCAAATACAACATGAATGGATTGTCTGGCATGGATTAGGTGGAGGTGTGGTGAATGATGCATAATAGCAATAAACTTGATTTAAACACGGAATCACATCATCTATCTATCTATGCTCTTCCTGAGAGCCGTGTCATGCAAAACAAATGTTAATAGAGAAGATAAGAAATATATACAAACAAGTATTAAATGAAGAATCCTAATAAAATACTTTTAAAAACAGGGAGACTTCTTGTACCTTTAATGGCAGAGAATTCCAGGCAACTACATGCACATATTGTGAGATTTCATGTGACATAGGATTAAGATGTGGTTTAACTAGGTATGGTATGGTGTGTGTGTGGATTGTTGAGTGTGATATGGTATTGTGGATCGTGTGATTTCATGCCATCGGTTGTGGTGAAATGGCGTGATGTGATGTTACTGCAGTTTTCGYATGACTGTGAAAAGCTCAGTGCCGTAAGGGTGACGTGCCGTGACCGTGATACTTTCTAGAATTTTAATTGGCTGATTTTTTTCACGCGCAATATGATTGGTCTAAAAGTGCCGTGATCTTGGCGTGACCGTGTCCGCGCCGTGTTTATGCCGTGTTCCGGGTATTTGATTGGATGGAGAGTAAATTCTCGTGCAACGTGATTTGTCTGGCGTATCCTTCGCTGTGTCACGACCGTATATTTGTGCCGTGAACTTTTCACAGTCATACGAAGACTGCACTATTGTCATGTCATGTGTTGTGTTGTGTAATGATGCATAGTTAATAAGAGTTAGCCTCCTCCGCAGGCTACTCCATATATTCTATGTTCTCTGTTGTGCTCTCTGTATTAAATTTTATGACAAAGAAGAACCAGGAACGTCTTTTTGTCCTCGCCACAGGAAGCCCAAGGAGCAAAAAGAGCCAAGGAGATGCCTGAGGAAGAGGAGACTAAATAAGAATATGTCATTCATGTGTTTGCCTACGTACTCTGGTTCTTGACAGGTGTGACATAACCCTTGGTCCTCCAGTCAACAGTGCTAGGAAGAACAACATTACTGGGTGGCAGGAAGGTGGAACCCTTGGTGCTGTTGTTAGCTCTGTAGCCAAGAAACAGGTACTTAAACTCGGTGGCGGTGAGATCTCCAAAATGGTTCATGGCCAGTGTGTAAGAATGCTTTCCTGCATTGTGAGCTTTGATGATCTGTAATATTAAACGATAAATAATTGCTGTGTCAAGACAAGGTCAAGATGGACATCAGGTGATCACGGGACATGATCGGCTTAGACAACACATCCTCATGGGTCGCTATGTCGAAAAGCCAGCAAAACCACAGGGAACCCGGCTATATTTGTTTTCTTCTTTTAGAAAAGTAATTTGCTCTTTGTGGGTTTCCTGTGTTGTGATAGGTTTCCTTTTACATAAGTTGTAATCAGATCTGCGCGCTGTGATAACCGTTAGTGTTTTGTTTCTTACTATGGGTTGCCTGTGGTGTGTAACGCACTTTCTAGTAAGCAGTCAAAAGAAGAGAAGGGCTGAAACAAAGCAAGTGTCCGATTTTAAAACCCCTGTCCAAATTATTCATGAAGGTAATTTATCAATAAAAAACCCACGTAATGTTTGCTCAATGAACAAACTTTGGGTCGGGATGTTTTATTTTGTTGAACTCGTAAAAGTAACGATCCTAGAAAGTGATATTTAAAAACTAAGTTTTAGTTATATGTTCACCTCCAGTTGCTCGGACCGCTTAGCTTATGAAACAGGATGTATCTGGTGTACGTCCAATTTGAAACAAAAGAATTTGACAGCTTGTTGACAGAGAGATCTAGATTTYCATATATTGTGAAGAGTAATCGTAGGGAAAACTTGCTTTAGTTATCCTGCCGAATTTATTCTCAGGCAAAACACTTGCTTTATCTGAAGTCTACTTGTGCATCTTCAAGATTTGAAATACTGGCACTGTTCCTTCTTTACACACCGAAAAGTTTTTCAAAAGCCTTCAATCAAAAAAACCATTTTCTTATTAGAACTGATAAAATATAATTGTTTTAGTTTAAAAAACGATTAAATTTGAAATAGCCGCTCACTAAAATACGAAATTTGAATTCCCTTGTTTACAGGATTTTACATCTTGAACATTTTCGAACAACATGACGCAATAGAAAAATGAAAATCATCAAGACTTCCTGATGGTTGTACTAAAGTAGCTGGTCCGAGCAACTGGAGGTGATGATCATACGATAAGACTTGCTTTGTTGCAGCCCTTCTCTTCTTTTGAGTGTTTACTAGAGAGTGCGTTACCAACGGTTATTGATTTGAATTTAATCGGCTATCAGTTTACAGCGCAGATCTGATTACAACTGATGTAAAAGGAAACCGATCACAACACAGGAAACCCTCAAAGAGCAAATTACTTTTCTTAAAGAAGAAAACAAATATAGCCGGGTTCAAAACCGCTTCGTATCACGTAACTGAAAGTGCAATATCTTTTATGGTTTTCTTGGAGCGCGTCTTTGATTGGCGACCATTGCCTTATTTGTTCCGTTTACACGACAATGATGATAGGAAAGTGAATCAGAACTCGTGTTAAGATATTTAAGGCCGACGGAAGTAAGTGCAAAGTATAAAGGATTTGTTATAAGAAAAGAGTAGCTTTGCCCTTTGCGGTCATGAGATACGAAACCTGTGACTGTTTTTTTAGCGTCGTCTGTAGCATTCAAAATATTCCCATATATCCTGTCTTTCACATATCTTTCACACTCGTTGGGCAATGAAGTGACAAGTCTGACAAGACCCTGGCACTCAGAGTAAACGATTCATTATGATGTGTTGTACTATTATAAATCAACCCATGTCAAGTATTGCTGGAATTCAATCAGCTGATAAACGTCTTTGAATCTCAATTTGCTCCAAATGTTGGTCAAACACTGACCACCATGTGCTGTTAGCCAGAGAGAATTTTATCGAAAATTGCGATTCAGCTGATGAACATTCCACAAGAGATAGGGAATGACGTCAAGTGAAACCCAACAATTGATCAACTTGTAAGACATCATAGATGTTTCCCTACGCGTGCGCAAACTAAGGTCGCTTTTCTATTATGTCCAACCGTTCGGTCCGAGTTAATCCAGATCTCGAATGGTACGCGTCAGTTCTCAGTACTGGACTAACTCGGCCCGAAAAAGTTCTAAGACTCCTGACGATGGTCACGACTGGTCCATACTCATTGCCATAACCTTTGCTAATGCAAAGATATAACTAGCTAAAAACTAGTGTGAGCTGCGTCGGTGTTTCTAATGAAACAGTAATGATGAAAAGGTAAATTATACACCGTGAAAAGATGAAAAAACTTACTGACGTTTCGGACGCTAGTCCTTCGTCGGAGTAAAAGAGAAAAAAGTGGTAGAAAGGAGTGTATATATGATAGAATAAGACAAAAGAAACCAATGACTTTGCTAATGCAGATGAGAAGCGGAACTACATTTTTCCAGTCTAATCGTTTTATAGTTTTATGACTGTGGAAAAACTGACTGTCCTTTATTGACGGAACCGTAACTTTAAAATAATATTTATGGCGCCGTAAAAACTGACTCCTTTATTTTTAGCAGTACCGTAGTTTAAGATGTGGAGGGAAGAGTAAATGGCATTCTGATGTGAGTTATAAAACAGCAACTAAAGTCTGCGACAAATTTGCCGGTGATTGTCAACCTTCTGCTCGATCGTAGATAGTGTTACTACGCGTGCTGTAACATGGCTGATGCAAGAAATCTTTCGAGTTTTAATGAGGAAGAGGCAGACGAAAAAAGTACAGCAATCTTAGAAAACCACTCGTTTATATGATACGAATAACGAACAAAATAACGAATAACAATTATCAGTTTATAGTGTTTTGAAGTTTCCAAAATTGYGCACTCGAATTTGTCAGTTTAGAGGTGTGCTGTAACGCTTTTGATAAAGTGTACATAATGTACAAGAGTTTTAATATATGATGATTATACAAGCGCTAGTCTTATCAATATTCTGACTAATCTTACCTCGAGGTTGTTGCGCCAGATTGCACGGCGTTGTGCCTCCTCGCTGACAGTCGTGTATGATTTAGCATGGAAAGATTTCCAAGCCTTCCACTGCAAGTCTTCTTCACCGACAGGCGAGCTTTGAGCAACAGCTACGAGAACAACCAAAAATAAAACAGACAGCATTTTGAAGTACCGAGTGTGAGCCTATTGCTTCTTGGGAGCTAGTTTCAGACGCACTAAAAGAAATAGCAGAGACTAATCGTTCTTGTAGGGATATTTCGTACCGTCTCGTTCCAGTCACGAAAATGACGCGCTTAAACGAAACACGATAGTATTCGTGACGTGAACGAGGACTACAGAGGAATGCTGACGCTTAGGGAGTCACAAGAATCACTCGTGATCGGCACATGGATTCTAGATAGTTACGCGTGAGTCTCACGAATTCCATGAACGACTGCTTACTTCGGTACTGGAAACGAGAAGAAAAATTTATTAGATATCAATTTTATACACATTCACGAATAGGTTTTTAGCGACAAACTAAACTCGTAAATTATTTCAGGGAATTTTCGTTTCCTGGTCCTTTTTTAACCCAAATCTCAACGATTGTTTAACTTTTTTTCCATTTTCCCCCTTTTTCTTTCTTTTCAGTTTTGAGGGCGATTTTCACGTGCCCGCAAATTCCCCCCACCCTGTCCCTCTTCGCATATTGCTTAGCTTTGTCACATGGCAACCAGTGTTCGAGTAAGAGAATAAAAACAAGCCTTGAAATGTGACAGAAGAAAATGGATCTAGTGAAACTTCTAAATAATTTACGGTCAATTTTGCGGCACCTTACATATACTAGCCTTACCCTCCACTCCCATAATAATTAAATAACTGCGGTACGCAGTTTAGCTGTTATTTATTTTCTGCACGTTTCGTAAGGAATTT